ATTATTTTCTTGAATTCTTCCATTTTTTGTCTGTATTTTCCATGAATTTGTCTGCTTTTCCATCAGTTTGTCTATTTTTTTCCTCATTTTTGTCTGCTTTTTGCTTAAACTCTTGGCTAATTCTGAATATTAGAGATTTGAATTCCCTATCAGTTAGATCTAGTGCCTTTTGTTCTACTAGAAAGTCATCAGGTGTTTTATTTTGGAAGCCTGCTGGAACCATCCTGTCCTGTTTTTGTAAGTGTTTTGATATTATCTGCTGTCTTCAGGGCATTCAGTAGTTGTTTTCCATGTTTATTGATTGTAGATTTGTTTGTTTCATCCTGCTTTTTTGTTTTATTTGGTTATGTCAGAGCAGGCGGGCTGTGAGTTCTTTGTTGTTTGCTCGTCTGGGTGTATGATACTTTTCACGTCCTTCTCCAATGGGCAGGGTCAGTCACTCAGGTATGGTACAGAAGGGCAGGTCCAGCTAAAGGGAAGTTGCTGGGATGGGTTGTTTGTGGCACGTATCAGGGCTAACAGTGAGGATCGGTAATCAGTGCATGACAGGTTCCAGTAGGCCGTGCCTGTGCTGCTTGGGAGTGTGATGTTCAGTGCATGGTGCAGGTAGGCAGGAAGGAGGGGGTAGATTGTGTGGAGCTATGATGGGTATGGGAAAGATGAGAGAGAGGAGAGAGGGACAGGAGCCAAAAACATACACAGAAACAAAAAAGAGTGCTAAGGGAGCTTGCTACTGGAGTGGAGAGATGAGAGACTGAGAAATGGGGAAAAACAAAAATTAAAAAAAAAAGAAAAAGGGTAAAAGAAAAAAATGAATAAATCGAGAAACTGGAAATGAAGAAAGACAAAAAGGGAATAGGAGAGAGAAGAAAACAAAACAAAGAAACTAACAAACAAACAAAAAACCCAAAAACAAACCAAAAAAACAAGAAAAAAGAAATGCCCCCCAGGGATGTCCCTGTGTGTTTGCGAAGAGTAAGGGAGTAGCTTCCAAGCTGCGCAGTACTGCCTGGCTAGAAGGGGTTCCCAATCTGAGAAAAGAAAAAGAAAGCAAACAAATCAGAATAAATCAGAGTAAACAAACAAACAAGCAAAAAAGCCCCGGGGGTCCCACCAGTGTGGCGGCCCGGGCCAGGAAGCAGTTACACAGTCGAGCAGTGTTTTGTAGCCTTTCAGGAAGAAGCAAAGATGGCACACGGAGCCAGGTATTTGAGAGAAAGGATGGGGAGGTGGTGAGAGGTAAGGAAGAAATGTAAAGAAGTGGAAAAAAGCAACACCAGTAGCTAACAAAAGGCACTCAGGGAGCTGGCCAGTGAGGGCAGGTGGAATCCAAGGGACACTGGGGTGAAGCTGGTGTTTCCTGGCCAGGAGACTATGGCTGCAGGAAGCAGAGGAGGCTGAGTAGGGGTGAAAAAGGGCGGGGGGTCGGAAAGTGTATATTGCTGGTTACAAGTTGCTCTGTCTCCTGCTGGAAGTTTCATGAAGCTGCTTTCTCGTACCCCCTGTTTGTTCGTCTCCGGTAGGAGTCCAAGATGGCGGATCCATGCTGTGGTAGCTGATAGGGGACCTCTGCATGTATCTCTGCTCACTCTCTGTTCTAGGTCAGTTTCTTATTCCATTAGGTGCTTGGCTGAGTTCTTTATTTCTTCATTTGATGCTTAGGGTTTCAGGATTGACGTGTGACTCTGTTTGACTTAGTTTTTCTGATCTTTGCTGTGGAAGGACGGTGTGGTGCTTCTGACTGTAGCGCCATGTTGCCTGGAAGTCCCAGGGTTGTATCCATTCATCATACTATTCAATCTGTATGCTGAGCAAATAATCCGAGAAGCTGGGCTACATAAAGAAGAACATGGTGTTAAGATTGGAGGAACAGTCATTAATAACCTGTGATACGCAGATGATACAACCTTGCTTGCTGAAAGTGAAGAGGACTTGAAGCACTTACTGATGAAGGTCAAAGACCACAGCCTTCAGTATGGATTACACCTCAACATAAAGAAAACAAAAATCCTCAGTACTGGACCAATAAACAACATCATGATGAATGGAGAAAATACTGATGTTGTTATCAAAGCTTTCATTTTACTTGGATCCACAATCAACACCAACGGAAGCAGCAGTCAAGTAATCAAAGGACATATTGCCTTGGGCAAATCTGCTGTAAAAGGCTTCTTTAAAGTGTTAAAAAGCAAAGATGTCAACTTGAGGACTAAAGTGAGCCAGACCCAAGTCATTGTATTTTCGATCACCTCATATGCATACAAAACCTGGACAATGAATAAGGAAGACTGAAGAAAACTGATGACTTTCACTTATGATGTTGATGAAGAATATTGACTATACCATGTATTGCTGGAAGAACAAAGAAATCTGTCTTGGAAGAAGTACAACCAGAATGCTCCTTAGAAGGAGGATGGCAAGACTTCATCTCCTGTACTTTGGAAATGTTATCAAGAGACACCAGTCCCTGGAGAAGGACATCAAGCTTGGTAAAGTAGAGGACCAACAAAAAAGAGGAAGACCCTCAAAAAGATAAATTGACACAGTGAAAGCAACAATGGGCTCAAACATAGGAATGATTGTGAGGATGATGCACGACTGGGTAATATTTCATTCTGTTGTTCCTAGGTTTGCTGTGAGTCTGAACTGACTCAAGGGCACCTAATAACAACAACGACAATGGATTTAATTGCGTCCACTGAAAGGATATGTTGAATCCTAACCTCTGTACCTGTAAATGTGAACTCGTTTAGAAATATGGTGTTTCTTTTGTTTCAGTTAAATTAACGGAGTTCATGTTGGAGCAAACCCATTGCCATTGATTCTGACTCATAGACACCCTATAGGATGAAGTAGAACTGCCCCATAGGGTTTTCAAGGAGCGGCTGGTGGATTTGAACTGATGACCTTTTGATTAGCAGCCGAGCTCTTAACTACTGCACCATCACGGCTCCATTAGGATTAACCAGTTGCCGTTGAGTCAATTCCAACTCATAGCAACCCTACAGGACAGAGTAGAAATGCCCCATAGAGTTTCCAAGGAGCACCTGGTGGATTCCAGCTATCGACCTTTTGGTTAGCAGCTGTATCTCTTAACCACTATGCCACCAGGTTTTCCCCTTTAGGATTAGGTGAGTCCTAATCCTAATCTCTCCTGAGTGGTGTATTATAAAAGGAGAAAGTGACACACAGAGGAAGACAGTATGTGAGGATCTTTCTATAAGAAATGCCCAAGGCTATCAGAAACTGAAGGCGCTAAGGAAAGATGTTCCCCTAGACCTGACAAGAAAGAGTATTGTTCTGCCAACACTCTGAATTTGACTTCTGGTCTGTTGAACTGTGAGAAAATAAATTTGTTTTTCTTTAAGACAACCCACTTTGTGGAATTTGTTATGGCAGCCCTAGGAAACTAAGACAACCTATAAGGTAGATAATTTACCATCAATAAATGAAATGGAGTTGGAAGTGTAGGAAGAGAAGGGGAATTAGGGAGAGTTTCATCAATGGAAAATGTTGCAAATGTATCAAATAGGATAAGAAATGTGAAAAAAATGTGTTACTTCATGCGTTTATCCTACGATATATAACCAAAATTGAACCATACTGAATTTGATAATTGAATTTTGATTACTTGCTCTGATTCCTCATATTCAAAAGGAAAAGAAAATAAGAACACAACAAACCCTCAGTTGTACAGTTTGGAAGCAGGGCATAGTGTGTTGTTTGCATAAAGTCTTGCTTTCCCAGGGTTAACAGTAATTATAGATAACATGAAAAGGAGCAAAAGTGTTGACTAAATGTCCCGTAATTGTCCTGGAATAGTCATCTGTAGTCTTCTTTTTCCCTTAAAGTTGTTAGATGAGATCGAGACAGTTGCTTATGAACCAAGGTCTCTGGCTGAGAAATCAATTACGAGATTATGAGACCGACCCTTGAAGTTAACTAATGACACAAAACCATTTTAATGAGAGTAAAGAAGCACAGTCTTGATAGCAAAATCTTTTATTAGATTTATATTTCAAATGTAATCTTCAAAATTTATAAGCCAGAAAATTTGATAGCATGAAAGGGAGGGAAAACTAAGGTGGACCATTTAGCAAAACTAAGGGACAGCATTCATTTAAAATGTGTAAAAATTTGATTTTTTTCCCCATCTGTTGTGATGAAACTTGTTCATAATATTTCAGTTGCAAAAGGTGGAGAAGTGCTTAAGCTGAAGAGGTGTCTGCTGATTTTAGTTGCTTCAATAAGAGCTTTCTGCCTGTAAGGGACAACACAAAGATAGGTATGAATTTTACCAATATATGTTTTTATATTTTATAAACTTAATTTTAGAATCATTTTAGAGTTACAGATAAGTTACAAGGATAGCACAGAGTTCTCACATAGCCTGCTCCCAGTCTCCCCTATGGTTAATGTCTTACCATGGTAGGTTTGTCACACTAATGAACCAATGTTGATACATTATTATGAATTAAAGTTTCTACTTTATACAGATTTCTTAAGTTTTTACCGAATGTCCTTTATCCATCCAGGATACCATATTACATTTAGTTGTGTGTTTCCTTACAGTCCTAAGAAACTAGGACAATTTCTCAGACTTCTCTTGTTTTTGATGCACTTGATGGTTTTGAGGTGTACTGGGGAGGGATTTTGTAGAATGTACCTCATTTTGGGTTTGTCTGATGTTTTTCTCATGGTTGGAGTGGAATTAGTGGGTTTTTTGGAGGAAGACTACAGAAGTAAGGCGCCATTCTTATTACATCATATCAAGGGTATATGGTAACAACATGAGTTATCATGGATGATGTCAACTTTGATCACCAGGCTGAGGTAGTTTTGTCAGGTTTCTCCACTGTAAAGTTATTCTTTTTCCCCCCTTTCCCTCCTGTACTCTTTGGAAGGAAGTAACTATGCACAGCACACACTTAAGCAGTGAGGATTCATGTTCCTCCTCCTTGAGGGCAGAGTATCTCCATAAATTATTTAAAATTTTCCCATATGAGAGATGTGTCTATTCTCCTCATTTATTTATTTAATGGTTTATTTATGTTAGTAAGGACTCAGGATATGTATTTCATGCTTTGGGTTATAATTCAATACTGCTTTCTTTTGTTGCTTAAATTGTTCTAGTTTGGGCTACTGGGAACTTTTTCAGATGGTTCCTGTGTCCCTTTGTCTCAATTTATTTATAACATAAATCATGTTGTTATTCTTTGTTCTTTGTCTCTTGATTCTCCCACTCCAGATACTTGTATGTTTAAAGTTTTATTGCCAGTAAATAATGCAAGAAAGATGTGCATCAGGGTTGTATCTTTTCACCATACTTATTCAATCTGTATGCTGAGCAAATAATCCAGAAAGCTGGACTATGCGAAGAAGTACCGGAGCATCAGGATTTGAATAAGACACATTAACAACCTGTGTTATGCAGATGACATAACCTTGCTTGCTGAAAGTGAAGAGGACTTAAGTACTTACTGACAAAGATCAAAGACCACAGCCTTCAGTATGGATTACACCTCAACATAAAGAAAACAAAAATCCTCACAACTGGACCAATAAGCAGCATCATGATAAATGGAGAAAATACTGATGTAGTCAAGGATTTCATTTTATTGGATCCCCAATCAACATCCATGGAAGCAGCAGTCAAATCAAAGTACACATTGCATTGGGCAAATCTGCTGCAAAAGGCCTCTTTCAAGAGTTAAAAAGCAAAGATGTCACCTTGGAGACTAAGGTGTTCATGACCCAAGCCATGGTGTTTTCAATTGCCTCATGTGCATGTGAAAGCTGGACGATGAATAAGGAAGATTGAAGAACTGATACCTTTGAATTGTGGTGTTGGCAAAGAATATTGAATATACCATGGACTGCGAAAAGAATGAACAAATTTGTCTTGGAAGAAGCACAACCAGAATTCTCCTTAGAAGCATGATGGCAAGACTAAGTCTCACATACTCTGGACATGTTATCAGGAAGGTTCAGTCCCCAGAGAAAGACATCATGCTTGGTAAAGTAGAGGGTCAGCGAAAAAGAGGAAGATCCTCAACAAAATGGATTGACACAGTGGCTGCGACAATGGGCCGAAGCATAACAATGATTGTGAGGACAACGCAGGGCTGAGCAGTGTTTCGTTCTGTTGTAAGTAGGGTCACTATGAGTCGGAATTGACTTGATGGCACTAACAACAGCACCAATATAGGGCCCAAGTTGACTTGAGGAGTCAGGACTGTCAGGGCATTTTATATCAAACCCGTTAAAAGATTTAGTGAGAATTTCCCTGAGGTTAAAAAAAAAAAAGATCAGATGTCAGGACTCTCTATTTTGTAAGTGTGGGAAGATATTTTATGCATATTGTTTCATATATTTATTGAAATAAGAATTACTGTAGCAATCTAACTCCACATCTTTGCTTCTGGCTTCACCCTGTTCAGACTGTGCTATATACCATTATCAGATTAATTTTTCAAGAGTATAGCTCTATCCATGTTTCTCCCTTACTTAAAGCCTTCAATAACTTCTCTTGCTTACCAAATAATTAGCTTATTTTCACAACATTGCATGCCAAGGCCCCAGCTCACTTTTTAAAATCTTTTATCCTGCTTTAGCCATATGTTCCAGCCAAAATGGACCTAAGCTTGTAAAAATGTTTTTATTTTTCCTTTATTTCCTCTATAATTTCCCTAATGTTCCTGATTAGAAGCAACATTCCATTTCTATTAATTAAAATCACATCTTGTGCCAGACATCTCCTGTTTCCCTCATCTGACCCACTTCCACTCTTGTCCACTCTTCCCTGTGTCCTAAGAGGAGGCTGGCCTGAAATCTATGGCAATGCTTCACTGCCCTTTGCCTTCCTGGTGGATTAGGCCAATGGGAAGCCCAGCAGAAAGTGAGGTCAGGGTATTTTTTCCTTGTAGCTCCTTTTATGGGGTTGCCTCAGGCTGCCTATGTCTCTATTGAGAGGTTACTACTCCTTTCAGGGAAACCTTTACATAACTCTTTCCTTTGAGGTTTTGGAAACCGCTCCCTTCTTCCTTCTCTTGGGCCTTAGGGGTGGTAAGTGCTTTGTGTTCCTAGCTAAGTTATTGCACTAGCTCTTGTCATATCCCTTCACCTACCACCCACACCTCTGTAAATAAACCAGAACCAAACCCGTTGCCATGGAGTCAATTCCGACTCATAGCGACCCTATAGGACAGAATAGAACTGCTCTATAAGCTTTTCAATTTGTGGCTGGTGGATTCGAACTACTGACCTTTTGGTTAGCAGCCAAACACTTAACCACTGTGCCACCAGGGCCCCACCTTTGTAAGCAGTCTTAATTAAATCCTTGAATTATCATAATTTGAGTGTCACTTACTTCCTCTTGGGGTCCTGATATACACCTCTTCTTTAGAGTTGAAAATCACTTCTATTAAGGAATTTTCACCTGTGCATTTCACAGGATGCAATCTTTTCCTCCTCTGAACATAATATAGTATTGTGTCTAAAGGCATTAGTAAAACTCTGCATTTTATTAGGGTCTTGTCTAATTCCTTGTCTTTTGAGTTTAAAGTCTTCAAGAACAAGGAGACCAGCTTACTTATTTTTGTTCCTCACAGCACAGTGTCTTGCCTAATACTAGACATTTGGTACATTATTTGCTAAATAAATCTTTTTTTTTTTTTTTAGTATCTTCCAAGAGTTTTTGCTTTTAACCTATACAGAGCTCTCACTCACTTGAGAAAGGAAGCTGGATATTGGAAAGAATGGTAAAAATAATGTTTTCTTCCATACTAGAGAGAATTGCCTATATCATGTTGATTTCTGCTTTACTACATTCCCAATAACTAATCTTGAGAATCTTATTTGAGAGCAATTATTTGAAAGTGACTTGACTGAATTTCAGATTATGAAATTCTATGTATTTCCAAATATTCAAAGTTCTATATCAGCTCTAAGTTCACCTTCTCTAATAGAACTTTACTGTTTAACTTCATCTCACTATAATAGATACTTTATGCCACAATCAATCCAAATATCACACAATATGTAATTTTCATTTGCTCTACTATTTTGTTATTATTTGCCAATATCCTGTGTAAATTTGTTTGTCTCAAGAGGGGGTGTGATTTCTACTTTTTTTGTATCTTATCATAGTATTTACTCTAGTATTTTACAAGTGGTAAGGGCTTCATCAATTGACCAATAGAATTCTGAGAAGTCTAGAAAATTCACTATTCCTTTATTTACTAAATACCATTTCAAAGTATAAAGCTGTCTTCTTCATGAGAAGAAATCAAAATCAATCTTTATATTAAGATAACACTTTTGGGGGACTTTAGGAATTGTTATTACTGAATTGTTATCCAAAACAATGAATAATTTACAAAACCCTTAATTATATTTTGAAAAATCCATAGATTCTGGGAGGAATGTTTGTATTGACTCACCATTAGCTGTTTAGAAAGTACGCATGGCTATCCTTCTTTTGATGTCTCTCTTCATTTGGCAAAGAGAACACGGAAGACAGCAATGGGTCACCAAACAGTCATCACAGATGGATCCCTATTTAAAGATACAAAAGAAATAGAAATGATAAATACATCTATTTCAAGTTTAAGATTTGTGGATTTTCAAACATCTTGAAGAAGAGCAGAAGGCACTGATCCCTGGGATTCAGACTTTGGGTGTTTACATTTAGGAAAAAGTTAACTGAGTTTTCCATAGAACTATTGCCTTTTTTGTGAAGTAAAATGTTTTCCTATACTTCATAATATGAAGAATACATAAAGATATTCAATCAAACTCTCAGTCAAACATAAGAGTAGAATAAAGAGTTTCAGGAGCTAAAGTTTTCTCCCACATAACCTCCCTGTGCTCCGCCAAAAATGAGGGAGTAAACCAAGAAAGAGGAAGATATGGGCTATAAGAAACAGGAATCTAACACAGAAGAGAGGCCAGTGGAATCCCCAGGGCGATGGTGAAGGGAGATCCCAGGATAAGAGCTGAGCATCAAGAGTAGTTCAAAGGGTAGCAGGTCAGAAAGTTCAGGGAGAGATTTCATCAAGAAGTGAAAGTGATAAAATATTTGATGCAGTGAATGAGTTGGGAAGAGATTTAGAAAACTGGTAAAGAATTTAGCATTGACTTCAAGCACAGTAAATGGAAAATTACTAATGAAAAAGCCAACAATTATTAATACCAAGAAAAAGAAAATTTAGCAAAACACTATCCTGAGTGAAATAAGTCAGACTCAAAAGGACAACTACTGTATGATCCCACGTATATGAAATATCTAGAACAGGCAAATGCATTGAGACAAAAGTTTATTAGTGGTTACCAGGGGCTAGGTGGGTGGGGGATGGGGAATTACTGCTGAAGGGGCACTGAGTTTCTCTTTGGGATGACGAAAATCTTGGAAATGAATAGTCGTGATGGCTGTACAACATGGTGGATGTAATTAATGTCGCTGAATTGTACACTTAAAAATGGTTAAGATGGCAAATTGTTTGTTATATGTATTTTATCACAATAAAATAGAAAACAAGAAAAAACAAAGTTGAGTGGGAAAAGCAATCATAGTTTATTACATGACTCAACTCTGAACAGCAAACATAGGTATCATAATGTAGGCACTGAATATAGATTTGACCAAAATTACATATAACTATGTTGGAATAAGAGGAACAGGGAAGCAAGCCTGTATGTGGTGGGGGCAGGAGCATAAGGCAGGACTGGATTCTCATCTTCCCTAGTGGGAGGTCAATAGATAATGTCTCAAACTGAAAAGTCAAAAAGTCGCAATTACAAGGCTGTGATTTGGAGATATGGTAGAAAACACCCAAAGAATCAGCTCTGTGTAAGAGGTAATAGGGGAGAGAAGTTTGGGAACCACTGTTTTTCCTAACAAGCCTTGTAAAATTAGAAAATTTAAGAAACTATTTGCTTCCAGAGCTTTGATTAAAAACAAACAAACAAAAAAACACAACACAGAATATACAGATGGACTTTTAATTTAATATGATGGCTTGATCCCATGCTTTCATCTCTTGTCCTGTAATGAAATAACTAAAAATATAAATTATGACAAGAAGAAAAAAAATTAAAGCTGCACTAGAAAACAGTTAATAATGCCATTTAGTGGGCCAGACATTTTTTAGGAATTTTTTGGAAATATGAAGCAGACAGGATTATATTGATGAAGCAAAACAGAACCAAGGAACCTGAAACCTAACACAGTCTTGGGGAAGGAACTGGAAAAACTGTGAGAACAAGATCTGGATCTTAGAGAGGAGAAAGAACAGGCTGAAAAATGGAATACATGGAGGTTAACTGAAGGACTGCCTGAGCATCTGGGCCAGCTGAGAGCTGCTAGTTGTAGCTTTTGACCTAGGAGATAGCAGGCAAAGATAGAGCTCTTATTAAGAAGATCCCAGTGAGGACTTTGGGACCCCAGGAGAGAAGAGAAGTGAGATAAGTAGGGCAGTTTTTTACCTATCTTATAAGACTCCATAAGACTCATAATAAATACCTGGAGAGAAAGAATTAAAGGTAGAAACATTTTAGCACATCAGAGAAGTCTAAGTCACTCCCACACATGGAATAGCCAAATTATTTTATGTTTGGTATTCATTGAGTGGTTTTTTTTTTCTTCTTCTTCTTTTTGCTGAATAGATTTTTCCTGGTTCCTTTTGTTCCCTCTAAGTAGTTGTAGATGTTCCACAAACTATTTTTATCCAGTAAGTGATTATTGTTAAATATTTATTCAGTATTTATATTTATCTATCAATGTCAGACAAAATAAAGTCTTTAGAATGCTTTTATTTCTTCCTCTACCTTCCGATCACCCAAATTTTCTTAAAACCAACTGAAGTTTTACCTTCAGACTGGCTGTAATTTTCCATACCCAAAAGGAGCATTTAAAAAATTGATTATTTACTGGGCCTTTAAAAACTTGATAACTTCCATATTAAGTAATAACATCAAAATAAATAAAGAGTTTCCACAAATCAATAACAAACAACCTATAAAACAATAAACAAAGGAAAGGTACAGATAATTTACAGAAGAAACACAAAAGGACAATAAGTTTTCAAAAAGTTGCTTGATATAACTAATAAAAATTAAAAAAAAATGAAAGTGTTTCTTCTCCAATTGGCAATATGATGTTATTCAATATTGACACACTTATATATTGTTAATGAATTATAAATTGATAATTTATTCTCCTTTCTTCAGGGCACTTTGACAATATCTATATCAATTTCCAATTTGTGTACCCTGTGATCTATTGATCTAACATCTAAGAAACTATTCTACAGAAATACCAGTGCACATGTGTAATCACTTACATACAACTGTTGAAATAGCAACACTATTTAGTCTTTCATAAAAGGAAAAATATTAAGTAAATTATTTATATGATGGAATTATTCAGACATTAAAAAGAATTAGTATTATTGACATGAAAATGTGTCTACCATATATTAAGGGGAAAAAAACCCAAGTTACACTGTAGTATGACCTCGTTTTTAAATAAAAACAAAAGAAATCCCCCCAAACCCAAAACCTTATATATCTAGATCTACAAATAACCTGTATTTATATGCCTATAGGCATAGGGACAAAAAGGAAAAGACGCAGAGCAAATTATTAATAGTATTTATCATTGGGAAGTAGAATTAGATGTAGACAGGTTAGATTTTTACTTCTTGTACTTCTGTATGTTTGTATTTGTCATCAATATTATGTATAACCAAAAAACAAACAAACAAAAAAATACCCGTTGCTGTCGGATTCTGACTCATAGAGACCCTATAGGACAGAGTAGAACTGCTTCATACAGTTTCCGTGGAGCATCTGGCGAATTCAAACTGCCAACATTTTGGTTAGCAGCCGTAGCTCTTAACCACTATGCCACCAGGGTTTCCAATATTATGTATATCATGTATTATTCCTTTATAATTAAAAAAACTAATAAAGATTTTTAAAGGAAAAAATACAATAAGTTCAGTGAAATAAAATAAGTTGTTCCTAAAAAAATTCTGCATGTATATTTGTTCCCCTACTACATAAAGTAAAACTTACGGTGTAATGGATGGTGTAAATATGGAAAGTTAAGAGTGAAAACTGAGTCTCTCTACTTCTACTGTATAACTTTGGGAGAGATACTCCACCTCTTAAAACCTTAATGTCTTCATCTGTAAAATATGGTGAACATACCCATTTAACAGGGATGGTGTGAGGATTAAGAGAGGTAACTTATGAAATACATGCAGGGCATGATAGGTTCTATATATACATTGCAAATATGACAGTCACTTATATTGTAGGATTTTCAACAGAAACCAGGAAGGATGTAGTATAGCCAGAGGGTCTGTTGCTACAACAGTTGCATACAAATTTGCACATCCTAGGAAATAGCAATCAAACTCAAATGAAGGACACCATCAAGTGACAGCTATATTTATAGCAGTTATTTTGAGTGTGGTTGCATATTTGAATGATACAGTACTGGAAATGACTCACAGGGATGCCATATTTGGTCCGGTAGTGGGTCCTCATTGCGACACTTGTTCCACACAGACAGCATTCATTCATGTCACCAGCAACTTGACATGCAAGGCACTCAATGCAAAATGTTCCACAAAGACCTGGACACATGAATGAAAGACAAGTTACTCCACTCTGCCCCCACCACAGCTGAAAGTTAGTTTGCTTCATGAATGGCAGTCTAAATCACGGGGTCTTTGCCACATAACCTACTGCCAAGTCCATCTTTCACTGTTTTCATTTAGCTGTGCATCAGCTTTCCCCTTCTCCCTACCAAATCATTTCAGGAATGACTGAACCTTGCAAAGTATGTCATTCTTTTCATAGCACTGCCTTCATCTATCTATTCAATGATTCACTGAACTTTGGCCATGTTTCAGACATTATCCTAGCTACTGGCAACACACCTGCCTGAAATCTGTAAGGGAAGACAGATAATATGAAAAGTTCTCTAACAGAAACCTGCCCAAGATGCCAAGGGGTCACCCACAGAATAGGGCCTCCAAGGCTCCGAGTAGGACATGTTATTTGAGCTGAATATTGAAGGATTATTAGGTATTTTACAGGTGGACAAAAGGGAAAAGAGCCTCTGTATGATAGTTTGGCAAGTCCAGGCAATGGCTAGTGTTCAGTAGGGTTGGAGCCCCTGGATGGGATGAAGGTGAAACTTCTCTGTCTTTTGGAAGAGTTTAAACAGTATTGGTGTTAATTCCTCTCTAAATGTTTGGTAGAATTCCCCAGTGAAGCCATCTTGTTCAGGACTTTTTTTGTTGGGAGATTCTGATCACTGATTTGATCTCTTCACTTGTTATGGGTCTGTTGAGACTTTCTATTTCGTCTTGAGTCAGTTTAGGTAATGCCTTTAGAATTCTTTATCCTTAGGTGTGCAAAAAAACCTCAAATGCATAAATTCAAATTTTTTTTTTCTCTGTGCTCATGCTGAAACCATGGAAGAAACTCTCCCCTGTGAACTTGGTACAATGTATCTATAAAGTAATAAGTTTAGGCTATGTGTAACAAGAACTGCCTTTTTTAAAAAATTTAAATAAATCAAATCGAAGTTCAAATTAAATCTCTCAATTTAAGATCTATTTGTAAGTATTAGTCTTGTTTATTGTCAGAATAAATCAACTTGTTCACTGTATTCTTAACTCTAATAATTATTTTTGAAGTAAGGCTATCCTTTGAAGGGCTGGCAAAAATTAACATCAGTACAGTACAGTAATAGCCTCTTTTGTTAAAGATACCATTGCTAGCATACATGGTGCCTATCATAGGTTAGGAACTTTTACCTCACAATAAGGGCGGTGTAGGGAAAGGACTTGGCCATAGGTAATTTCCCTGAGTGTCAATTATGGGGGAACGTTTCCCATATACTTACAGACTTCGCAATCGGTGAAGCAATCACACAGGCCAGTGTGCCAGTTGGAGGTTTGGACTGGAGGACCACTCCCAGGTTGAGACACAATGACCACTTGGGAAGGTTGCATTTTCAATGCAGGCTCTTAAAAGGCTATGGTTTGTAAAGGAAAAAAGTTGGTGTAAGTAACCTTGAGGTTGTTCTTGAAAACCCCTGTTTTGAGGTACTATGTTTCACTGGGTGTGGGGGTGGGGTGGGGTGGTGGTGAGGGCATTTAGATCAAGTTGCTTGTTGATCTTTGAAGAACATATTTTCTAATTCTACCCTGCAGTGGACAGAGTACCCTGGAGGGAAGGAGTTCACTGAGCTGGTAAAATAAATAGGTCCTTCTCACGGGATGAGGGAGGTGTAACATGGTTGTTCGCATCCTATTTTTAGACAGTGTGATTGTTAAGGTTGTGTGTCAACTTGGCTGGGTCATGATTCTCAGTGGTTTGGCAGTTATGATGTAGTTTGGTAGTTGCATGATGATGTGATCACTTCTGTGATGAGATTTGATATAATGTGATCACCTCCATGATGAGATCTGCTGTGAGTAGCCAATTAGTTAAAAGGGAGTTTCCCTGGTTGTGTGGCCAGCATTGAATATAAGTGGACTCTCTGGCAAAGCTCATGGGCTTTTGCTCGCTCTGGATCCTGCTGCTGGTCCTGTTCGTTTTGTCTCTGGTTCTTGGGACTTGAGCTAGCAGTTTACCTGCTGTCTTGCCTGCCGATCTTGGAATTCATTTCTCTTTGCAACCTGTGAGCGAGAGTCCTGCTGCCTGACCTGTGGATCTTGGGTTTGCCAGCCTCTGTTGTTACATGAATTAGGAGAAACCTCTATCTTGACCCATGGACTTGGGACATTCCAGCCTCTACAACCAAGTGAGCCATTTCCTTAATATAAATCTGTCTCTCTATATATTTTTATGATTTACTGGTTTTGCTTCTCTAGAGAACCCAGCCTAAGACATTTGGTACTGAGAGTGGTTCTAGAGAAACAAAAGTGTAAGGATGAGTTTTCTAAATTGGTTCTCAAGTCTGGTTAGTCTTAAAGATGTTAATGACTCTGCTTCTAGTAGTGAAGAAGACACTGCTAATCCATAGTGTGAGGTGGCAATAGAAATATGCAAAATATCACCACCAATCGATCAGGTATTGGTGAAAGGCGAGGCTCTGAGTGATTGTATGTTTGATACTTTTGTACAAGTTTTTCAGAATGAGAAGTATAAGGTTGTTCCTACTTTCAATAAACACAATGATGAAAGAAAGGGACGAGCTCAGGGTTTCAGAGTCAAATCTCAAGTGTCACATAAATGACCTCAAAGTCTCCACTTGTGCCTTGAAAGAAAGCCTTATTTTTTGTAGTAATAGAGCTGATATTCCTGAAAACCAAACCCAGAGTCTTATTGTAAACGTGGCTGAATTATAACGCCAACTCAGTTGCCCATCTTGAGCAACATCTGAAGTTAATGTGAGGGCATTGATTGGGAAGAAATAGGATCCTGAAACTGGAGATGGGGATATACAGGCAGATAATCATGAAGCTGGAGACACTGAGCCCCTAAATTCCATTGAGTCACTCCAGCCAACTGAACCAGGCCTCTCACTCTCATCTGAAGAGATTACTCCATCTTTGCCTGCTCAGCCACCCTCTCTAGTAAAACTGTTAGCTCCTTATGCCCCCATCTAATGAGATTAACCCAGCTGTATATGAAGAACCTTTGTCTGAGTCATTGTCTGGGCATTGCCTGAGGCAGATGTCTTACAAGACAATGCTGAATGTTCTCAAAACACATCCCCAACATGTATTTTGGCTTCTAGACCTGTAACTAGATATAAGTCCCAGTGAGTCCCAAAAAGTGAAGTACAAAGTGTGACCCAGGTGGAGGTATGATACACTCCAAAAGAACAGCTTGACTTTTCTAATATGTACAAACATAAACCTGGGGAATATGTGTGGGAATGACTATTAAGGTATGGGATAATGTGCA